GGGCTGCCACCCCATGGCCTACTGGTGACAAGATGCTGCTGCATATGAGCGCCAGTGACAGTAGTGGAAGCACAGTGCTGCTTTTGTAACTATAGCAGGCTTGTCTGGCATGGGAGACTTCAGTTAGGGCACAAAGTCTCCAAAACTGAGACCCTCCCAAGAATGGCCCTAAACACTTCAGTGCTCAAGGAGCTTCTCCAGCCTCCAGGAGTCTAGACATATCCTTGGCACCACAGTATGAAACCCCACACCCAGCCTAATTGCCAGCCATGCTTTCTTCCCCATGGTCCAAAACAAGCCACACTCATAGTAATAGCCAGGAAGCTATAGATAAAGGGATATAATTGCCCTGCTGCCTGACATCACCACAGCATTCTTCACAACAGAAGGCTAAAAGGAAATTAATTTTGGTAGGACAGAATTAGCCAAGCCATTTACAGAGGCTGTGACCTTCTGCAAAGCACCCCAGTGCCCTCTGCACAACTAAAATTATATACAAATTTACTAGCAGAACTATTTTTTAACATACTGGCAACTACACAGCCCTCATTGCATTTAAACCCATAGGAAGCTGAATGCATTAGCACTACCATTACTGCCCTTCATCAATTGTTTGACTCAGGATGTGCCAGAAATTGTAACTGCTATAAATCTGCCACCACACAGAGCATGTCCTAGCTTCCCATCTTGTCTGGCTGAGGCACCCAGGACTGGGAACAGATGAAAGATCTAATGAGTTCCTGTTTGCAAACAAGCTGTGACACTGCCATCACCCAAAGCTTCTCTCTCTCATATTATGGACCTTGCATTCCTCTGTAAAATAAGAACCTAAGTCTTTGTACAGCATGTAATTAAGGTATGCATCTACACAAGATGCTTACTGCGGAGTTGCCTAATTAGCTCCATAGTAAAACATCACCATCTACACGAGCAGTGCTATTAGGCTGCAGTAAACTCATTAACTCTGTCATAGGATAGTACTGCCCAACATAAGTACTATTCTACAGTGGAGTTATTTACTCCACAGCAATGCACATGTAGACAGTGACTGAGGGTGGCTGGGGCACAAGGGTGCTACAGTGCATGGGTGCCTACCTGTTATCCCTGTACTGTAGCACCCTTGTGCCCCAGCCAGCCCCTCTGCAGCAGGCTGAACTACAGCAGAGCAGCTCCAGGCTGGCAGGCTGAGCCTCCAGGTCCCTTGCCAGCTGGGGTTACACCACTCCAACTCAACATGCTGCTGTCCCAGGCGCACGTGTAAACGCTGTGCCTGGGAGCAATAAACTCTGGGGCAAACCACACCATAGGTTATTCAAACACACTAACTGCATGTGTAGATGCACCCAAGGTGTGGAATTTACTATTGTTGGAGGTTACAGAGTCAAATCCCAGTGCTGGCTAATTCTGTGACCAATCATATTGGCAGCTACATGGGCTAAAGGCAGCAAGTCCAGATCTCATGCTAAAGGATGCTATAAGACCACTACAGAACTAGGACAGAAAATATACTGGCCACAAGTATCTGAAGGGAAAAGAATTATTAGAATGGCTCAACGTGATGTAGCAAATAATAGGAGGGAACTGAGCAAAGGGGCACTCAAGCTACATGACAGAAGTGCCCTCACCTGATAGATGGCTGGACAATGTCTCAAGAGAAAGGGTAGATGTCCTGAAGTTTGTGCTGTTTAGGTAGTAAACAGAGCACCGGAAAAGCCAAAATGTAATCCAACTGATCTAAAGGGCCTTCTTGTGCAACTAACCCCAGATGCTGAGGCCTACCCTGGCTGGTCTAGAAGGAATCATCTGCTTGCTAGGTTGAAGGGTACCTAAGGAGGACACCATGCAGCAGTTAGGATTGCTCCAAGCCAGCACTGGGTACCTGAGCTTGGGGCGCTATTCAAATATTCTACCATCACCTCAAGGGAGAACCCAGGGAGATCACGTTTCAGGAACGTCCCTTGCCTGCTCCTAGCTCTTAGAGGGAAAGCCACATTTCTCCAGGGATTCCAACCAGGGTAACTGGAAGCCACCAGCTGAAGGAGCTTGGCAGAGTCAGGCATGCAAACCCCAGTCCGTCTCTAACTCCAACTCCTCATCCTAAGTGCAACTCGCAGCTAAATTGTGACACTCAGCACTCACTGGCTACAGTAAGAGAAGCCAAGCAACAGCCTAGGCCTTTCTAACCAGTCCCTCAGTACAAGACTGTGGCATCCTTACCACAAGGCCACGGTCATCCAGGTTGGTGATCATGTCCACCAGGTAGGTCCGGAGTGTGGCCAGTTTCTGCAAGGACTCAGTCCAATGTGCTCGCTGGGTCAGGATGCTCTGGTGAGTCCTCTCCTCTTCTGCGTGTACCTTCTCCAGCAGCCTCTGCTCTTCATTCTCACACACATTTCTCACGAAGATCAGTCTCTGAATCACTGTTTCTCGGGCCCAGCTCGCTGCACTCTGCACAGCAAGGGCAGGGGAGAGAGAGCTGTCAGGCAATCCTGCCTCAGCCCAACTAAGAGCACCAAAAATGCTCAGCTGAGCTACTACTAGCACCAACTCTCAGTGTACTCTGCTCCCATTAACAGAGTAAATACAGATTAAGTCAGAGTGATTATATTGATACAATCCAGCAAGAGTGAGAATCAGAACCAGGTCTATTTTCCAACCTCCCAGTCTTCCCAGCTATAGTGTTTCTATGCATTTCTTTACACCATGTTGGCAACATGTCTTAGCTGGGGTGGCCCACAGCATGCCCTGCCCCCACACCCACATGTTCCAAATCCAGAGTTATGAACATGAGTCACCCCCACTGGCTGCGCTTGAGCGGGCCCGAGGCTTAGGCTTTGACAATGGCCACAGGGAGAGACCCTCGAGTGGCCTCACCAACATGTTTCCAGGTTTGGAAACCTAGAGGGCGGAGTACAACTGGATTCATCCCAAGTGGAACACACCACCACCACGCCAGTGTGCCCGCTGATATCTATCAGCGCAGAATCCATGTGGCAACTCGCCACTGAGCAGAGGCCCCAGACTTCAGTTTCATCTATAAAGCAAGTTTCATCCCACTTGCTGCTTAGGGAGATGATCTCATGCTGATAAGCAGAGCTTGGTTCAGGAAAAAAGCACTTAAACACGCACACAAAAAAACCCCATTTAACCTGCAGTAGTAAGGACTGGGTCCCCAGACTTGCTACTTGCTGAGTCCCGCAAACCCTGTACTGCTCAGGATTTGGCCTAATGGAAATGTCTCTGCACTGATGTCCCATGCAGTCTTTGCAGCCCAAATATTGCAATAGGACATGAGCTGCTGGAAACAGAACTGGCCAGTCCTTTATTGCTACTGCCCCACATGAGGGAAGTAAAGACCTTGCCAGCAGGAAGCTCAAAGCAGTTGGGTTCCTTGAACCAATTCAGTGGCATTATGCTAACCCAGGGAAAGTTTTTTTTTCATAAATGGGGCTGAACTAATTATCAGTCAGGCTAACATCCCATGACATGGCACCTGCAGTGCAAATAGGCCTAGAAATTAGTGTAAAATTACATTGATGCTGCCAAAGCAGAGTAACATGTACATGGGAAGAGGCTGGCGAAACACCCACAAACTGAGCAGGGAGAGGAGCAGGTTCATGATCAGGGCCCAGCTCCAATGTCGATGGGACACTGGGGTGAAGAGCGGGCATCTGTGCAACTCAATGGCACTCTGAGGGCATGATGTTAAGGCCCATATAAGACAGCATCTCTCAAGAACTGACCTCTCAGAAGTGCTCCTGTGCAGCCCAGCAATAGCGAGGATTGGCAGCATCAGGCTGACCCATGGACTATAGCTGGGGTTTACTTGCTGTGGGAAGCCAGGCATTATATCAGCTGCCTAAAGCAAAATGGTGACCTCAGAGTAAAGCCACCTCAGGGACCCTCTGCAGCCAGCAGCAATATTGCTGACCTTGGGACTTTAGCCAGTGAGATGCAAGGAGGCTGCACTAGCAAGCTCTAGTCCATGCTACCCAACACGGGAAAGACAAGACAATTACCAGCGTGCTTTGGTTCTTCCCTGGCAGCACCTCTGCCATGTACTTGGTAATCGTGGCACTCTGCAGCTGCAGCTTCTCGCACTGATCCACGATTTTGTTCTGAAACACAGAATCGCAGAGCTGAAGGCCTGGCCTCTTCGGGAGAATTCTTTGCTCTTTGGGGCTGACAAGCTCTCAGCTGGTGATGGTGTCCCAGCCAGACACGTCCCCTGCACCCAGAAAGGTCCCTCCCCTGTGTGCTTCTGCCTTGCAGCTCCATTGCCCCCAGCCACAAATGCACACTATCAGAGGAAGGAGAAAATAAAGCCCAGGCCCTTTACTGCTTCTAAGCAAATGTCAGCATTTTCCTGGAAAAGGTCACTGAACAGGCTGGAAATGGCTCTAAAAGCTGGTGTTTTAGTCCAATAACAACTGTCCTTGTAAAGGGCTATCCTGGGCCCCTGATTACCAGCACTATCATCTGCACAGCAGACCACGGGGAAGAAAGGAAAGGCAGCAAGATAGCACCACATGCAGAATAGCTGGGTTCCTCACTGCACTGCTCTGGCACTGTGATGGGGGGGAGAAGCCTGATGGAAATGGCCTCTGGAAATATCCCTGGGGTAGAAGTTCCCCAGAACAGCCTCCTACTCGCAGTCAGAGACATACGCCAGAAGAGGGAGCTGGCAGTGCCAGGCCAGACCAGACCAGTGCCAGCTTCCCTTGGCTGCAGAACAGCCCCTGGGGAGTTGCTGCAGCCAGACAGAAACTGGAGCAGCCCTGCAACTGCTCTAACTTAAGTCAGGACTGGGCAGCTTCTGCTTGGGCTCTTAAAGTTGCCCTCGCCTCCTCTTGCAGCACAGCTCAGCCACAACAGAGCCCCTGGTGCCTGTAGTAGGACAATCCCCGGGGTCCTCAGGACCACTTCGGTGGGTCTGGAGGTGTGGATCCACCTGCCTCCTGCCCTTCAGGAGGCTTCTGGCACCTGCGTGGCCTCAGTGACACTCCCAGGGCTGCCCGACACTCTTCCCCGTGTCCTGTGCACCGGCGGAGGTGCAAGGCTGCCCCCGGCACGTGGCCGTGCCGCTCTCTGCCGCTGGTGGAGGAGGCTGTTTTGTATTCGTGCATTTCAAGCGGGGCGGCGGCGGCCGGGCGGGCT